TTATAAAGTGTTTGGGGATATTTTCTTTCTTTACTTTTTACGCAGCGAGACAACAATATAATTGTTACTTTACGTTCAAAACTACTGTTCATTATTTCGTAATTCGTGAATTATACACGTAATTAAACTCTACCTTAATATTTATCTGATTGACTTTAATAAAACTAGAGAGGGTCTTCAATGGAGTAAAGGGGAACACTGAATTAACGAAGGCCTTGACACCACGGAGCAGCTGCTCGTGGCACGAATTAAGCGCTGCAGTCACACCAACTGTTGCTGGAGAAATTTATCGAGCTGTGGTTGGTTATCTCTCTCTCCGCGACCTCTGCTATCATAGTGCCAAAGGTCTTGTTATGCTTATACATTCCGAGGAGAATATGTCTTCAGTCGATCTACAGAAATATGACCTCGGTATTAAGATATTATATTACAATATGGTTATAACAACAAATTGTAATATGGTTATTGATAATTCATTCCAGAAGAATAAAATACGAAGTTCTCGTCTGTTATTACTAATTGGATTCACTAGTTCATGTTTGTTCTGTATTGGAATTCTTTCAATACAATATAATAGAAAGGGAAAAAATAAATGTAGTAATATTCGTTCTAACATTGTATGTGATTTTTCTACATCTTTGACTTGTCTTTGCTAGACATTTCACCTCGCAGTTTTATCTGCTATCTCTATGATTTCATATTACGTATCCTTTAATTTCATGAAATTATTATAAAATGCTGTAAAGTGAAAATGATTAGTCTGAAATGTTCAATGTATTGTCTCCATTTCTGAAAGGCAAATACTCTTAACTGAAGTCTCGCTTAACAATCAAATCGCACAACAAATATAACATAATTATCACCTGAAGTTCTCGTCCCAAAGAAATGCTCACCCGTGCCGGGAGAGCGAGAGGACCTTGTGAAGAAGTCTGTGGACAGTGACGTGTCTGAGGGTCGTGTTTCGGTAATAATTCTGCGAGTAGTTGCAGAAAAAGAATAAGTCCCCTTCTCGAGGCAAACAGGATCCGCCGCAGATGAGGAAAAGTGGCCGGAGGTCGACTGCAAGAGTTCATCGATCCTCAAGATATAATCGAGTGAACGCGGGCGTTGGAGAGTCAAGCGGCGCTTAGTCAGCGCGAAGAAAAACATCGGCTGTGCGTGACTTGTGCACACTGCGACGCAGCGCGCACTGTGGCTGCACCGCCCACTCGCACACCTCGCCGGTATAGTGCGACATCCACCACGCGGAAAGGCTCACTACCTTCCGGATATCACGCGCATATTGGCCAACATTCCACCCTACCACCAAATAAGGTGTTGGGATGGTAAACAATACGACCCACACACGGTAACGGGAACAGAAGAAGACACAAACACGCAGAACACCAATACAAACATGCACAAAAAACAGTGATAATAATCTAACACATGTAGAAGCAGCAAACACGCTTAAAAATCACTGTTACACGTATTTGCAAGAAACGAAAACATGCATCCATTATACCTAAATAAATGAAACAAACACCGCGTACAAAAAATGTGCATAAACAGCAAGCATGTGTACACCAACCTCACACACACACACACACACACACACACACGCACGCGCACACACACACGCGCGCGCGCGCAAAGAGCCTAAACAAAACGTACAGCCATTATCACACGAACCCGAAACTCCTACATAATCATCATACCCGACCAACCCTCACTCAAACACCGCAAATATGAGCACATAACACACATCACAAAATGCTTTCACGTCACAAAACGAAACACACAAAGGAACCCTGACGTGTACTCGTATATCGCATTCAACCATAACAGACGTGGTACTAAGTACACAAAAACCATACACGCCCACAAATACTTTAAAAACATATTTGTACTTATTGTATACGTAATATTGTCGAATTTATCAGTCTATTCTCCGGCTGATATCCTTGCTGTCTACACTTCCAACCATGTCTAACGATATCCAAGTCCCTACGTAGCCCAAGCCAAAAGGCGACTACAGCGCGAAAACAACGCCTCTTTAACGCCTTCAGCAACTACGCAGTTCACGAAGCCAAGCGTAGTGAAGTATGCAGTTCACCACTCTTCCCGCTGATTGTCATTCACGGACGGTACACCCTACTATCTCATGCTTACCACACCAGCAGTTCATTTGACGTTCTGCCAACCTTCCACTCAACTTTTCTATTCACATGCTGCAAATCAGCAGGGCAGAGATATTGTGAGCCTCTTTGACTCTATCGAGGATCAAGCTCTTTAAACCAATTCATTCTGGCTTGTTAGTAGTCTCTGAGCCCTCATTTGTCACACCGTCCTACCATCTGCACCGTGCATGGAAATGTGCATGATGTTCACAAGTCGTAAAAATGAGATGACAACTGCGCCGTGAAGGTGACAACCGCACCGACAAGATAAGCAAAAATGCGTCATCGCCATGCCACCCTGACTCACTACCGCGCCCGCTCGCCCGAGAGCTTGCAGCAGTCATCGTAAAGAAGTCGCAAACACGCAGCCGTTGGCAGTTCCAACCGAAACGCCGCGAGCGCACGCCAAGCGCCTCGCCCCTTCGGGGACGTGCGCCCGTGGGCGGTGCCCGCGACAGGCGACGCACGCACGCACGCCCCCGCCCCCGCCGCCGCCGCAGCGCTCAGCTCGAGGAAGGCGCCAACGCCAGGCCGCGGCTGCAGCTGCGCCGAGGATGGCATTAGTGTTGGCGACGCCGCCACCGCCGCCGGCTGGGTGGTCGCCGCCGCCGCCGCCGCCGCCTACGGACACACGACATACGGTAAGACTGCGTGCCATCTCTTGTGGACTTTCCGGTGGTCAACGACTCGTTGCACACGTTGCCACGAATGACCACCAATTCAAGCGGAGAGAATAACGGGATTTGAATGATCTAGGTAAACACGGACTGTCACTCGTTTTAGTGCATGAGTGTTTTACGTTTCCCCTTGCATGAATGTGTAAGTCCCCGTTTTGTGGAATCGCGCCGATAATGCAATGAAGTGTTCTTGTGAGAGTGTGTTAATGTGTTTTGAAACTATATTCCTAGTAATAAATGTCGTTTGTTGACAATAAAGCGTACATACAATACAAACCGTATATGTTTCAATAAATATCGACATATTTTAATTATCAAAACAATTTGGGGGTAACTAATCTATTAGCTGTACATTGAAACTAGTTGGTTCACTAAATAATAATGTTAGTACACATTTTATCTTCTTTCCATGTTCAGAATGTCGACTTACGCTGTATTACGTAATTAAACGGAAGTCAATTCACTATTCTAACCATTCTTGGAAGCATTGTTTAGTAAAACCACCAAACCTCAACTCATTACCAAGTAGTACCTTTATATCAAGCGGAGACAGTGTTACTGATAAAATAAGAGTTATTCCTACAAATTTGTTCTATTTCTGCGAGTGACGCACTCTTGAAAATGCGGAATGGCGAGTGACAAGCCAATTTGTCATGGCACGTGTAGGAATTTGGGCAGCAAAAATGATTCACGTCATGTAAAATTTACAATATAAATAAACATTTCGTGAATATTTTTTATTTCTCTTAACTAAATTGTGTAGGTCTTAGTTTTCTTATAAAAAATTACAGATGTCTTAAATGATAATGTACATACGATGAAGTTACCAGTGGTTGTTTGATTTGTGAGGATTGAAACTTTTCTCTACGCAAACTTTGTATATAGATACCAAAGTGTTATTATAACTTACATAACACTTATTCATTTAAGTAATTGTATATTTGAATAGTACGATTTTGTTGTTTGTATTTACGGTGTAAAATATGTTTTTACAAAATGCCGCATTTCAGTGGAATTAACATTTATTAAAGAAGCAGTTGTATATGCAAACCAGCTGTTGAGGCAGAGAAATTTAAGAAAACGTTCTTTATATTCATTTATTTAATTATTAATGTGTCAAATTATTCATGTGTCACATAAAACACACAGTTGCTTGGAAATGAGAGCATAATGCTTCGCATGCATCTTCACGATCTAATTTGCTTAACATTTCTGCCGCACATTTGCATGATTTGTAATTTGCACTAACTGTTCCCACACTAAACAAAATATTTACAGTCAATGCTTCATTATTTATGCAATATGTAATCCCATGTGGTCAGATTCTTTTCACTGCTTCGCGGACGTTATCTGCAATGCAAGAAGTCTTTAATTGGAATGTTCACTTCACTTAATAACCCTTCTCGTATTTCTTTTTTTTCTCATTTGTATCTTACCATGGTGGAATTAAGATGTTTGTATATATCTCTGAGGTATGTAAATAAATTACTCGGAGCCAATGTTCTTCTCTGTAATGTATTTTTATTATTATTATTACTATTATTATGGTTATTATTGACTTTTACTAAGTTTCTCAAACGTTACGATTCACTTGGTAGGTATATACAAAATAATTCATGCAAAGGTGTCACAACAACTGGAATATGTTGGTAACTGATAAAAGTTAAAATTATTCCAAGAAAAAAATCTGAAATCATTTTTAAAAGAGGTAATGGGCTAATAAATTTTATGTGACCAGGAATTCAAAAATGTCATTAAAATAAATAGTAGTAGTTTATAAATCACTTGAAAGGGGTCTTGTGATCTTAATTTCAATTCGATATTTAAACATGTAACGGCATGAGGCTGTTACAGAAAATATCGATCAAACGATAAGGTTTAAAAAATTGTTTTTCTAAATAACATTTTTAAAACACTAAATAAATTAGGTTAGATTGTGTATTAAATTTAACGAATGAAGAGTACTGTATGTTTTATTATTGTACATTAATCATTTACAAAGGAGTTATTCCATATTATTTAAATTGAATTAAAATTGTATTTTTAACATTTATTTTTAAGAGATAATGCGGGTTTATGTGTTGAATTTAATTAGTTACCCGTAAATGTAAATAACAGACATTTCACTTGAAGAGTATTTTAGTGTGACAAATTAGTTTTTTATGTCATATTCTAATCGTTAAATATCTCTAAAAAATGTCAGTTGAAACATGGTGAGAAAAAAAAGAATACATGTGAAATTTGCTCACATAATTGGAATGTTTTACTTTTACCAGCATATTGAATGATCTTTTTAGTTCAGATTGTCTTTCGAAAAAAAACAACAAAATCTTTCTTTTAAAAAACAACTTTAAATTTAATGACGATCCATAATATAATTCTGTGGGACGTAACGTTTGAGAAGAATATATCCGGGTGTCACCTACCTACAGGGATGCTCGATTTGGCTTGTGATGTCTTCTCTGAGTGCTTGCCATAAATGAACGGTGGTTTCCCGGTGCAGAATGTTACCTGGGTTGCTGAGTGTCGTTTGGGCGCTTGCTGCCGTGGCAGGATGTTCGGCGACAGAACCTCGCGCGTTCGCCTGCCCGGAGATCAACGCCACCCTTCGCTGCGTCTGCCAGGGCAGCCGCGCCACCTGCAACGGCCTCGGCGCCTCCTCTCTCGGCTTCGTTGCGTCTTCCGCTCGGGCCATTCGATCTCTTCTCGCCTCCCACAACGACCTGCGGGAGCTGCCCGCGGACTTCCTGCCCAACGCTACCAACCTGCAAGAGCTTACGCTCAGCTACAATAAGATCGCCAGCATCGATGCGCACTTTTTTGAATCTCTGCCATCTCTGGCTATTTTGGACCTCTCCCACAACTATCTTGTAGAGTTCTACCTGCCACGATATGGGCTTCCGAACTTGGAAATTCTCAATCTGACGAACAATCTCTTGTCTCAGTTGAGATTTGATGCGCAAAGACCGGTAAAAAAAGCACGGGCAGATATAAATCGAAACAATATGTGCGGAGTTACTATAAATGATGCTCTTTCAGGAGAAGGATTAGAACAATTGTATCTTTCGCACAATAAAATTGGAAATAATTTGAGTTTTTTACGCAATTTTACCAAATTAACAATATTGACCTTAGGATTTAACAACATATCCAAGATAGATCTAAGTCGATTCCCCTGTGATGAAAAACTTAGGTGCTTGGATCTCAACAATAACTTACTGAGTGATTTGAACTTCTTGAAATGTACTGAATATATGGATACATTAAATGTATCGAGTAATCTAATTTCGGAAATTCCAGAAAACGCATTCATAAATTTGACAATTCTTCGGTGTTTGGATATTGCAAATAATAGAATTGAAAATCCAAGATTTTTACATAACATTAACCGAAATACCATGTCTTTCATAAACTTATCACGTAACAAGTTGTCTACTATACCTGCTAGAAGCATGATAAATATGTCGGAATTAAAATACGTTGATGTTTCCTTTAATGAACTGTCTGATATATCATTTGCTAACGATATTAAACCATTAGAAAACCTTTTTGCTGGTAACAACAAAATTTCCAAAGTATTTTTGAAAATTCACAGAAATGCAATAAAAACCCTCAACTTGAATAATAATTTAGTCACAAACATTGACTTTTTGAAACACTTACCTAATATTACTCGTCTCGATTTGAATAATAACACAATAAACGAAATTAAACCTGATGCCATGTCGCTACTGAAAAAATTAGAAAAACTAGATCTATCCAATAATAGGATTAGCAATGTAAATTTTGTTAATGAAGTACCTGACCTTCGTTTCCTTAAGCTGTCTAACAACTATATAACACAACTTCCATGCAATAGAGTCGTGCAGACCATATATTTGGATGGAAATGACATAATGAACTTTCAGTTGAGTTGTGCTCCCAATCTTCGCTACCTTTACATGCATGGCGGCATCTTCAAAGACAGGAAGGAACAAGAGTTACGAATATCCAAAGAAGTAGAATTAGGTATTAAAAACAACACATTTATTTTCCCTTGTTTCCCAAATCTAGAAGTCATATTAAAATGCAAAAAACATTTCAGTCAAACGGAAGCTGATGAAATTTTGTGTGAATCGCATGGAACAATCTTTGGCAATCCTATCACTATTGTAATATATTGTATTACAGGAATACTGCTTTCTCTTGTCGTCTTTTTAATTGTTGCAAAATGTTATCGTCGGCTGCAAAGAAGAGTTGATAACAACAGAGAGTGTTTGTGTGGAAAAGGAGAACGTGTACATAGGCATCAACTTTTCGGAGGCAACGAGTTGTGTTGCTAACTACAGTTTTTTTTGAACTTGTATTTTGCTGCCTGTAATGTGAGGATAGTGAACGTGAAGTACAATTTAGTTTCCGAAAAAGGTTATTCGACGTTTGAAGAAACGGTAACTATAAGGGGAAGAAGTGATGTTTATCTATTAATATAACATGATGGTAAAAAGTATGTTTACCCAAATTGTTCAACATTATTAAGGGATTGATCGAATTTTTTTCTTTGCTTCAAGAACTTCTGTAACATTAAAATATTCTTCTAATGAAAGTCGAACAAATTTTTTCATTGATTTATGTCTTCTGAAGGTATTTTTCTGTGAAATTACTGATCTCATGCACTTTGCTGTACAAAAATATACAAGACGAAGTAGACAGAGAGGTAGTTTCAAAAATTTTTAGAACGGAGTTTATAGGTCACTATTATAGCGTACAAATTATTACATGCCAAAATAATTTCTAAAATCATTTAGTGAAACAAAATTGTTTTGTTTTGCTTTAGTAGGAGACGTCAATACTTTGAAATATATGTGACCAAGAAGGTTTAAATTCTATTTTCTATGTTCGAGATTTGAAGAAAATGAATTTAGCACAAATATAGACTTTATACAAAATATGATTAATATATTTATCGTGGTGTCAATTATGATGTATATTTATTCTGTCTTAGTTTATTATATTTTCTATATGACGTATTCTTACTTTACGAACAACAGTATTCATTTTTATTGCTAATTTTCATGAGATTCTTTGCTAGTATCTTTCTAGTCTTCCTCTGAAATAATTCTTACAGGAATAATTTATCAACGACAATTTATTCTCTCCGGTGATATTTCATTCAATCTATCTTTGACACTATGATAACATGCGATCATAAAATCCAGAACGAAATTCAACTTGTTTTAGAATAAAAAATAATTTTGGAACATTAGGGTTATTTAACCATTTGTTATGGGAAACTAAACGTTATAGAACATAATGCTCCGTTCAAGCCGACCGTTTGAATTTTTTATATAAATATGCTATTTAATGAACAGATTTGAATATTTTCTGGAGAATATAAATGAATTATAAACTAGAAATTGGAAAATGTAAAATGTGAGAATGAATGGTGAAAACAACATCAACAAAAAAAATATATTATGTATATTTTATGTAATTCCAATGCTAGGAATAAGGTTTCACCACTGCTGCGTTATATTTTCTTATATGATACAAGTGATGAAAGTGATATTTTATTTTGCGAGTAGGAAATGTTGCGATCAGAGAACGATAGGGCGAGTTACGAAATCCTATGCGTAAAATAAAGTCGCTTTTACCATGTGTGTGTCATACATTACATTTTAGACAGCCTTACTATTTTTATGTTCAAGTGTATAAATAACTTAACGATACGTTAAGACTCTTAGTACTGATGCAGTCAGACGAAACTATTTTGTTTCCTTTGCTGCATTCACAAATTTACAAGAACATTTGAGCTCTCACTTTTGGCGCTAGTGCTAAAAATTGAACTGTAAGCACGAAACGCGGGCTTCGAAAGAACCGCTTTTAATAGTGGCTGTCTAAAATACCAAAAAAAAAGGTTATATTGTGAGTGGTCGGGCTTACACATTTTAATTGAAAACACTTATAATTGGAAATTCTGGAAATTTATTTGATATCGTTTTGATAAACACCAATTTCTTATCTGGGACTGGCGGTTTTAATGCACATGTATTATAAATATGCAATATTTTAAGGTACAAAACTTAGTTTGTAAAGGCGTTAACCTAGAGTGTAAGCGCAAAACTTAGTCACCTTTTTAAAAGTATTTTAATTAAAACACTTGTGCAGCACATTTTAAAAGAAAACATTCCCTCTCGTGATGCTTTTTTAAAAGTCTTAAGTTAAATTTTTATTTGTAAATATTAATATACATTGGCAGCATATATGTACATATCAGTATTAAAGTATACTGAATTTTCTGCTTTAAAAAGTGTAAATTTTTTGTCACAACTTGTACATTTTACTTTATAATGTATATTTTTAAATATTGTTTTTTTTTAAATAAATGTCAAGAGTAAAGTTATTGTTCTTTCTGTCTTCAAGCCTTGGCATACTTTCCTTCTCTAATTATGTACATATATAAAATGTAATTTTATTTTAGGAACCGCAGCACGAATTCCATTACTATTGTAAATAACATAGAGCATTTAAATGTGAAAGATTCTGAAATGTACTTCTTATAAATCACATATTACTTTCATATTAATTTCGTAAGATATATCATCTTATATTGTCAATTTATGGATGAAATTATACGAAATATTTCCGTTCTCTCTCTCTCTCTCTCTCTCTCTCTCTCTCTCTCTCTATATATATATATATATATATATATATATATATATATATATAGATAGATAGATAGATAGATAACTCACTGACATATAAACGCACAGCCAAACCTACTCAAGCTTGAAACGGTTTGGATTAACGGGTTGCTATTATTCAACCACTAACAAAGAATGTTTCAAATTGATCATCTGAATGTTTCCTTTTTGAACGAAATCGGCCCTTGCATGCAGGCATTAGGGATCTCAGAAGCGCAGCCCGGGCGGGGCTTGGCCGTGGACGAGGTTGGCCAGAGGGCGGGATCAGAGTGTGTGCGTCAGAGAAGAGAGGCTGTGCCAAGCGCAGAAAGTGGAAGGGAGAGGATGTATAAGAAGGGGCGGGACAACGTGTGTGGGACCAGGCAGGTGGAGGAATGTGCGGGGTGTGGCAGGGAAGGTGTTAAAATTAGTTCACTTAACATTATTGGCAGAAATACCTCGTTTTTCTTTGAAAGAGAAATTTGCAATAAGTAACTACCATCGCAATATTGGTTTAATGTAGCTAGCGTTTTGTAAAGAGAGTATTCGTACTTCTCGTTTAATCACTAAAAACCATTTCTCAATAGCTTGTTACTCTACACGCGCTCTTTCAGTATTATTTGACATTAAATAAATAATAAACTGTAGAACATTAAATCCAGTCTCCCTAACATGACAAAATTAATTTCCAAACTTCTTTAAAACATAAATATACATTTGAACAATCATCAAAGAGCCAGAGTTTATTAAAATTTATTTTAGAAAAATAGGCAAATCTTTACATAGAATCAATAGAACAGCATGATATTCACATGATCAACAAATAAAAGTTCCCTCCTCCTTTCATGGTAACGTTTTGCTCTTTGCAACTGCACACTCATAGAATCTGAGCGTTTGTTAAGTTTTCGTTGCATGACATCAGGTTTCTAATCATATTTTGGGGATACTAATTTAAATAGCGACTTTTATTTTAAATGTACAAATGAAACAAATGGTGCATGAACTAATAATGCCTATGCTATGCAGAAATGTAAAAATATTGCTAATCAATTTAAAAGCTTTCATGGCCTGAATAAACAAGAGTAACCCTGTCTTCTTTTCTTACAAAATAATGATTTCATAGGTCGTATGCTGATGAATGATTTTGTATCATATTTGTAATTAAGTTTGTCATGAATTTGCGTTACACTCAAAGCTTGAACTCTTGACTTGATGTGTTTCCCGCTTGCAAGCTGACAAGATGCCCTTCCTTTCTAGTTTTTATGAGATATAATTCAAAAATACATACTATTATATTAGCTTCTGCAAACCCTCTTTAAAACAATTAATAGTGTCTATTAACGGTCCACATCACTTTATTTCCAATATTTTACTACTCCTGACTGGCTTACACAAAGGTAATATCATTGTATTTTAATACAATCTCGTGATGTTCAAATGAAATAACTTGACATATTTCTGTTTAATTTTAAAATCAACTCTAACTTGTTGACAAATTTAATTACACAATTAGTGTGAGAATGTTCTTTTCCTATCAACTCTCTCCCCTCTCGTATCCATTTCTTATGTGATAAACCTTTTCCCCTAATTGCGTACTTATTTTGTTTGAATGATCTTTTTATTATGTACTATGTTGTTAAAATTTTTAAAGTGGTCAGGCGGAAGTGCAGGCCCAAGACCAGAGCCCCGCCACCAATATAGGCATTTATTTATTTAAATTTAAGTGTGATAAATAAAAGATGTTGTCTGGTATCATCAATTTATTTGGTTAATGATAGTTTCGATTGCGTAGCAATCATCCTCAGAGCTTACAGCTTCCGGTCCGAAAACAAAGAACATTGTTTTGACTGATGTAGAAGCCTTGGAATTTAAAATCGACATTTTAATTCTGGGGTATACTTTATATGAAGTTCCTGAAACATTTTCAGAAATATTGGTTCCAAGTTTTTAATTAAATTTAGTTGTGGAGTAGTGTGAAGAACGTTTAAGACATTAGTGCGAGTTTCATTTCCGTTAAAATATCAGATTTTTCGAAAATTACACAGCCCTTCAAAATTTAGGATAGAGATTTGAGCCACAGACAAAGTCTGTTATATATGATTAGCTGTTTCAAAAAGGTCATGTGAATTTTTTGAAAAACTAGTAATTTGTGTGTAATTCTACCTTGAAATTTAATATTTTCTCAAAAACCGTTTCAAATTGTTTCTTTATATGGAGCTAGTCTTATTATGTTAAAATATGGAACCAATCTCATTATCGGGTATTGCTCTTTTTTCGAAAATCACAAAGAGATATTCAGTTCTACAAAATTGAAGATAAAAATTTTTGCCGTCAGCCAAAGACTGTTGTACAAAATTATCTCTTTAAAAAGGGTCATGTACAATTTTTTGTAAAAGTATGTAGTTTTCGGGTAATTTCCGTTTGAAATTAATGAAACATATACGGGCGTCGCACATAAGGATATTTTAATATTGCGAGAGAGTACGTGCGGCACACTATTCTGCGAGAAAGTAAAACTAAGCGTTTAACTTATTTTCAAAACGAAGGAAGAAACTCCATTGCTTGCTACGAGAGGCAACCTGCGATGTTACATTTTGAGTTTTATTCATTTTAAAACATAATTGTTTGACACTGTTTTCTGTGTTCTGGCGTAAGTATATTAATAATTTTCATTGGCTGTTTTTAAAATTCCTTAGATTTTTAAACTTTTGTGGAATTTCAAAGCAAATTTTCAATAAAAAACAATGACACTAAACATGATTAATGCGTAATAATAAAAAATGTGTACAGCATGAACCGGAAGAAAGCTTTTCAAATAAGTGAAATATTTGTGAAAGTAATGTAATTTCCACTAAGTTATATTTTGTAACAAAGTTATAATGTTTTATAGAAAATACGAAAAAAATTCTATTTAAATTACCATTGAATAAAAATGGAATACAATATTAAGCTATTAAAACAGCGCATACTTGCTTTCCTTTAGCAATAGTTATGTAATACAATTTTATACCGAAATTTCTCTCCGAATAAACACATCTCATTCATCTTTTTTGTAAAACTCATAACAAAGTGTAGAGCATTAGGTGTGGACTTTTCGGTCTGTGGTCAGCAGACTCACAAGGCCTTCCGAGACAACACACACACACACACACATGAAAGACAAGGGCAAACACCCGTGCCCCCGGAGGGACGCGAATCCGCGACCTTCCAGACCGAAGCATTGTTTCGGCCCACGCTCTAGCCACCTGGGTCATCCAGATCGACGACAATTATAACTGCATTTCATACAGCTAAACCATTTCCCAACAGTGAGACGTAATTCACAGAACTGCAGTGCCGTCTAGCGGGGAAGAATACCATTGTCGCAGTTCAATCCGATATTTCCTGAAGGCTGGAAATTATTCTTTCATATTACATTCAATTTGTATTTTTGAGAGAGAAAACCTAATTGGGGTAATTTCAATTATGGTTTGCGGATTGCTTGAAAGAAAATATATCATTACAATGAGAATGCAAATGCATTCCTCACAACACGGACAAAAAAAAGGATTATCAAATATGTTTTAAATGATTTCTAAAAGGTTAACGTATAACAAAAGTTCGAATGTAAGAAAGGAACAAAGAAATATGAAATAAAATACAAATTCTAAATTACGTTGAATCCAATTGCCTCCAAGTCATTCTGCAATTACGTTCACGAAGCGCAGGAACTTCTAAGTGAGCGACTATGTTTGACGCCAAATTATACAAAGTAAACTCATATTTTCGACAAATTGAACGTGACATTACCTGAAGATCTGTTTTTGATGCTATTATTTCATTAGAAAAAAAATATTTTATCTTCAATATTGAAGTTGGAGGAAGACTCCGACAAGAAGTTTGAATTTTTGTAATTTTCAAAAGTCACAATAGTCAACGAACATGAGACCTGCTCCATTATGTTAATCAGCGTATACCCTATCCCAGGTCAAAATTTAATAAACAGTGTTTTGCCCTTTTGGGAGAGAAAATTGAACGATGTTAAAAATAATCCCTGCTCAAATTTTTGAAACATTGTACATTACATTATTTTAAAATCCGTCTTTGAGATACAGATTTCATTAAGGGAAAATTTTTTTTAGTATTTTAGTTCTAGGAAGACTCAGGGTTTTTAACGAACATTACAGAGGTGGCCAATTTATTAGTCTAAATATTTTTTCTCTGGCTGTACGGATTATGGTGAGTTTTGAGAAGCTCAAGAAACAGTTTAATGTGTAATGTTCGTTAATATTGTTGGAAATGTACACACAGTTAATGGTATAATAAGACACGACCAATACTTAGAGGCCCTAAAGAACCAATTGTTTCCTCACATAACTGAGTTGTTTGAAAAATGAGAAACAATATCTACGCTCCTAATCACAGCAGGAAAGATGGAAAACATCTTCAAGACATTGATGAGTCTGGGTTCCAGCAAATAACCCTGTCATGAATCTCATAGAAAATGTTCGTTCGATAGTTAAAAGAAACTTAAGAAATGAAGGCCATAAAAACAGCTCATAAAACAATTCATTCGCATCTCACAAAATGACACTCAAATTGAAAGAATGAACATATATTGAAAAAAAATGTATCTCATAACAAGTATGTTAATTATAAAAAGTTTGTAAAACATTAGAACTCTATACCCAGAGTGTATCGATATCTATAGTCGCAAATACATTTTGTCTTATTTAATAACTCTAGTCTAATAATTTGGCCACCTGTGTAGGCTTTCTCTGTCAAAACAGATTTAAATGTAAAACGAAATAATAATTTCCAGCCTTTAGGAAATATCAGATTGGACTGCGACAATGGCATTCCTCCCCGGTAGATGTCATCTGCAGTTCTGTGAACTACGTCTCATTGTTGGGAGAGGAATGGCTTGAGCACGTGCCGACACAGGTCGGTGTGAATGGTAGCGGGTTCGAGTCCCGCTGCAGGCATGATTGATTGCTCCATGAATTTCATATGTACGTGTGTCGGAAGATCCTGTGAGTCTGATGACTACATACCGAGGAACCCAAACCTAAAGGGGTCCATTTTGCGATGAGTTTTATAGAAAAGGTGATTGGGATGTATTAATTCGGAGAGAAATTGAGATATAAATAGTATTATGTAACCATTACTAAGAGTGAGATAGCTGTTCAGCAGTACTAGATTTAATAACCAACCGTATTTAGATATTCAGTCGCACACAAATTCATGTGTTGTACGTAAAAGATAACGTAACATGTCAAAAGGATTTTTTAAATTCTTCCAAGTGCTTCTTTGAAAATTGGATGTAAGCGATTGCCTCACAATATTTCACAAATAGCCCCAATGACAAAATATTGTATCTCCCTAACTATTGATCAGGTTACGCGTGGCTCAAGTGAATGTAATACGTTTTATCATTCTATTTACACTATGACCGAAAAGTAACGGTTTGATGTTAACCAATTGTAGGTCTTATTTTACTATCTCATGAAGCATAAAAACAAATGTATTCTTTCTCGAATTTTTGCAATGCAATTTCGAAATTACCTCTCATTTACTTTTCACAATCAAGTGAATATACCTGACGTGTTGGGAATAAATTCCTTTTTTCTAGCCTTTTTTACAGGTTCGTGTAGTGTCTTTCGGGTTTATCGTAAAAAATAGAAATTATTCTTAGAAAGATCATAGATTTTTTTAAAAAATTGGTTCACTAATTTGTGATTCATTACACTCCTTCAACCATGTCGACATTTACGGGATATGGCTTTAATAAAATATCTCTGAGACATTTTTCTATCAAACACTTCAGAATGATTTAACGCAACAAGCAAAAGTACCCGTAACAGGCGAAAAAATTCTTCGTACGTAAAATAAGGCATTAATTCACTTCAATTCATTTTCTGAGAAAAACAGGTTTTGACGCTCTGATACCAAATGTGAATTTTTCAAACTCATTTACAAAGGCAGGCGGGCGTACAGTTTTTCCTGTACGTGAAAAAGTCAAAACCAACGTTTTGTGGGTCTGAGATCAGAAAAAGGTTTTTTCCTTCAACACGTCACCCTGCCCATCTGTGAACAATACTAACAACTAAATTATACACAGGATTTCCACCAAATTGGATATTCCTCAATAGCCCGATCAATTGAAATGGATCTTTAAATGTTTCACGAAGCCTCTAGGACATTTACAAAAACTTCTCAAAACTTGCTTCATGTTTTACTTTCTCGCATTTACTTTGTAAGAAGGTAAAGTCATCGTTCGTCGAAAATGCATTTTTTTACAGAAAAACTCATATTTCTGGACCCTGGTAACAAAAAAGTGGATAAATCATGTTGCTATATAGAGTAAATTACTTCTTGGTGTAGCTAGAATTCATTTTTTGAGTCCTTGATACCGAAAAATCGGTTGACGGCTAATCGCCTTTTGTCCGTTCGCCCATTGAAAATATTTGTTTGAGACAATTACATTTTTAAGTGTCAGTCCGAGTTCGAATCTCAGGGTGCTTCTGTAACATAGTATTATAGCTGACGACGAGTTACTTCAGAGGACCTAAGTTCCAGTCTCGGTGGGAAATATCATTTTTGGTGATTGAAAACACTTTTGGATGTTTATTTGGTATAATAATATATTGGAGCAGATAGAAATAATGCTTAAAGGTATGTGTTGTTGTGGCACTACTAATTTTCTTTAAATTTATTGCCCTAACACAAACAAATACATTCAAAAAAAGCTCAGGCCCGATTTTCAATAAAAAACAATAAAAAGACAGCAACTCTGAATTTAAGAGACGATTCAAATTTTATTAACCCTCTACAAACAAATAAATTGTGAAAATCTTTTTCTTACTAAATGTGTCATTTATTATATTGAAAGATCTAATTTCAAAGATCTTTTTAAAATAAATAAATAAAAAGGGTAATTTATGAGTGAAATATTAACAATTACAAGAACTGAAAAATATTTGTTTAAACTGCCAAATGTTTTATCTCTAACGTATCCCTCAAATAGAGCAAATTTTGCTCAATAACATGGCATAGGTCCAACTATCATTCAGATCTCTGAAGTTTCGAAAACTGCCCTGCAAGTACTATGTATTTGAACCTTTCGCATACTTTCGATATTAAACTGTATATTTCTTTCTCAATGCAACCTAGACCTCAATTGGTACCCAGGTTCTCCAAAATATTAGTACTAGTTTGCGCGTAATCTTCAGTTATAATGTGATTGAATCATCGGAATAAAAATGAATCATTGTAGCGTTATAAATGGAGGGTTAGGTTAAATAGCGTCGCAAAAAGACTCTTGTAGCGAGCAGTTTCGAATCTTTTGTCAAACATTGTTAAAATAGAGCGATCAGGGCGGTGAAATACTTAGATTTAAGATACGCTAGAAAACTATTTTCATTTAAGCATTTGAAGTTTCAAATGTATTATACATATACTTTTTCGAACCTCTTGCGTTTTATTTGGTGAATGAAGTGTATACTCCGATTAAAGCAGGAAGCCTTTCAAAGGCCACAAGGTGGCAGGAGAAGGTTATACTGCCATCGAATTACGAGCTTCGTTCTTACTTGTATTTTTTGTATTGATGTCGCCCCCCCCCCCAATTGGTTTACAGTGTCCCCCTCTTTTTTCAGCTGGTGACCTTGAAAGGACTTCGTATTAAATTGAAGTATAAGTAGGATATAAGTTGCAATGTTTTAATTCATACTTACTATGGAGCTTCCGGAGAGTATTTTAATGTAAGAAAGATCGAGTAATCGTAATGTTTTATGTTCTGTCTTTAATTTTCATAATAAACTACATACATGAACTAAAAGCGAATTATAAACAATTTAAAGAGATGCTATCCAAGAAAAAACTTGTGTTATACTTGGGTTATATTAATTGTATAACAATGTTTCGCAATTATTTTTTTAAAATTGAAATTAATTGTGCGACTTACAGAATATGATCAAGAAATGTTTTATTAGCCATCTCGTAACCAACCCTTTGGTGAGGTGTTCATGCGAAAGAAGCGAGTATACGCTCAACGTTTTTTAATTCCATTTTTGGCAGATTTGCATAAAACTAAAGAAATAATTATAAACTAACAATTAACAAGTGTGCTAAGCTAATACTAACATTTGTAACGAAAGCTTTAATTTATTAATAAGCAAACAAAATTAATTGAAAGTTGACTGTGTTTCTAAGGATGAAAATTTAATATCAAAGAAATAGAACTATGTTATATATTTTTGGGTCATTTGATGTGAAGTGTAAAACTAATTTTGGTAAAAAGAGAACAAAGGGTCAAATGTTGCTCAATTAACTTTAACTATGTTTTGCAGGTCAGCCTACGACTACTTGAAGATAACGGCATTCATCGTGGTAGTCACCTCCATTTGGGCAGCTATGACGGCAACTGCTGAAGGCATTGACTGGTGCATCCTTGTTTCGACGGTTATCATCTCTAGATCTGCAGAGGCCAAAACGATCTCACGCGCACAAGCCTACCGCCCAATCATCAAATCAATGTTTTATTCAAACGAAACAAATGATAACATGAACAAGCTCAAATTTGAAGTAAAGCATACTTCCGGGCAAAATACGCTTGAAAAAACAGTACTTATTCGCAAAACGCTGAAGACGAAAAAAGCCACTCCCGATAAATTAATGAATAGATCAAGTCCATTCAACTCAATGAAACATTTTCAAATGGAATTGATAACACATTTACCGTCCTCTCTTTCCGATACTGTCAAAGAACCAAGAGACAGTATATTATATTCCGACTCGCACACAGTGTATCCTCGCTTAAAATCTTTGTATGAAAACCGTCTTTCTATTCGCCGCAGGAGTGTTGAGTCTAATGATTGTCCAAAAATACAAAACAATATATCGTGCTCTTGTACTAACATACAAATATTCTGTGACGCGCTGAACATTTCGGTTCTTGAGTTTTCGAAGCCACTTCCGATCGATGTACGACATGTATCCGCCTCGCGTAATCACTTACGTTCAATTCCAGTAATTAGCGGCGCCCCCAATGTAATTGAACTGTCTCTCGCTCAGAACGAAATCGAAGTGGCGAACGTGAAAGAACTCGTGCATTTGACGAAGTTAGAAAAGCTCGATTTGTCTTTAAACCAACTCGAGGAACTGGACCTATCAGAAGGAACATTGTTGTATCTCTGGAGTTTAAATGCTTCTTTCAATAAACTGAGAAGATTTGAGTCTCAACCTTTACGTTTAACCCATTTGACTCTCCAAGAAAATATGCTTTCAGATGTGTGTTTCGTGTCGCGTTTTCGGTCATTGAGGTATTTAAATCTATCATTTAATAGAATTACTTATATCCCTGATGACGTATTCCAGAATTTAACTGACTTGTACTTTCTTGACCTAAAGAATAATCAAATAACAAACGCAGATTTCGTTCTGTTGACTACGAAAGTATTGCACACCCTTGTACTTAGTAACAACAGAATATCGAAATTGCCGGTTAAATCATTCAGATATTCGAAAATAGTCGAATTGTACCTTGATAACAATACTCTTACAAATGTCGACTTTTTAATATATTCAAATGCTGCTGAGATAAATTTAAATGACAACCAGTTATCAACTTTAAATGGCAAATTGTTTGAAAACAAAAATAAATTAAAAGTTCTTAATGTATCGGGCATGAAATTAACTTCTGTGGACTTTATCACAAGTATTCCATCTTTGATTAGCGTCGGCATGGAGAGTAACAACGTTTCATGTCTGCCAAAAGGGTTTCTGAAAAATTACAAAACTCTCAAAGAGTGGTTCTTACTTGACAATCCACTGGAAGATCTGATTTGCCCAATGTCCTCTGAATGGACCGTTCAAGAAATGTGTAATATCAGCGCGTCTGACAATAAAGTACAAATTCTCATGAAAGATGTAAATATAAATGACATAATGCGCTGCGTATTAGACCGTAGAAATATTTTTGAAGACTGTGAACAGAAATGTAATTTTGCTAGTCATACATTATTTCCACCGTTGCTCATTTTTGTATCCACATTGTTCAATGTTATATAATGGTATACGATTACTATGTACCTATTTTTGCATTTTGTTTCGTCCCCTGCAGTTGTCATTGATGTTTCGGGGCAGCAAAAAGAAATGTTTTGTAGTCAATATAGTGAGCTGAGACCATAAGTAACTGCATGTGAAGCCTTTTTGGTGTCAGCCATTGTATTTTGTTATCCCACCTCTTTTCGCATTCCACCGATTTTATGTTGTGTTGATAATAAAGAAGTAAAAAAATTTCCAAGTTTCATTTGTGTAGAAAATCGTATATTGTCTCGAAAGTTTCTTCCACATTACTATGCACTTTTTGCACTACATTTCTGAACCAGATATAAATGATTAATGGGAATTTTAATTTTCCTGGTAATTGTAGTATTTCTTGACATTTAAAAGGATACACACTTAAATGAAAATATTTCTAAATCAAATAATGTTTTCAAAACTAATGGGTTTCAAATGAAGTTCAAGTGATTTTTACTTTTTTCCGTACACGTAGTGTATATAAAACGTTACGTCAAAGTGCAGAAAATTAATCAATATTTTAACAGAAGTATATGTTTCCTAGGTACCTGATAGCCAGATTTGACATTTTTGGTACTATGTTTTCCACTCCATCTGCGAAAACATTCTAGCGCCCAAACCGTACACCGGATTTTCCCCAAAATGAATTGTCTCCTATGGATCTCGTCGGACTCAAAGTCCTACCAACTTGCAAATAATATATTAATTTTGGGAAGTACTTAATTTTTTACCTCAAGGATATTTTAATTTTTTTAAAAGAATAGAGCTACGTAAAAATGGTATAATTACAATTTTCATTACTCTTTTTGAAATTTTCGTCATTGTCAAAGATTTCCTTTTAGAACTACAGTACTGAAGATAATATATTTATTGAAGAATGAAATATTATTTTTAATGAAATCTGGTCTTCAAAATTATATATTTAATTGTACCTGAACAAGGGTGGATCAGAAATGATTCAATTGTTTTCATTTCAATGTTTCAATGAAAGGAGCGAAGTGCAGTGAATCACATAACATAAGCGCAATTTGGTTTAAAACTTTTAATTTTTTAAAATTTTAAAAATTCAATTAAAAAAGTATCTTATTAATATTTGTATTATGGGTATTTTTTAAATTTAATGTACTTGTGAGGAAAAATGCACCAGATGATTTCTTACTAAATATCTCCAAAATACCAAAGGTAAAAATTGTGTATTTGCACAAATGCTCAAACGATATTTATTTTGATAAAACACAGGTTCCTCACTTACAAGAAATAAAACTAAAACATTAAGTACATTGAGACAATCTGTAAATATTATATTTTACACAAGTTTTATTCAAGTTATTTAATTTTTTAAATAATTCATTAAAGGGTACGAGGTTATAAAGCTATAAAAACATTTTTCTTACAATTTATTTATAAAGGACGCATAAGCCTCAGGAACAGAAACTATGACATAATATTACAATAGCTATTGTAAGAATATTTTTCATAGTATTCAATACTGCGTATTTCAACACAATTAAATTGCAAATCACAAGTTGGTATACAAGGTTTCTTTAAATAATTGGTTTCTTTTTTTCCCTCTAAAACAAAACTTTTTTATTATATCAGCGATGTAAGTAAGCAATAATTTAAGTTAGTTAGTCCATATTTGCTTCTCAACTGGTTATATCTGGATCACTGTATTAGTATATGATTTACAGGTAATGATATTTTGTAGATATCACTTAATTTTGGATCTTCCTTCGTTAGTAAATGTTGGTGAATTATTTTTTATGATAAATTCATAGGCGAGTTGTAGTTAACTGTTGTTACAAACAGAACGCTTAAGTCTGCCGACTTCGTAAAAACAATTTTTTCGACATCAGAGACCTTCCAAACTTGTATATCCGTCAAAATTTAGACGTATATTTTTTCCATCACATAATTTTCTGTGCATTACATACCCGAGAAAGTAAGGATTGTGTTAAGTATGGAATGTAGTTTATAATATGTATTTATATAGTATAGTATTAAAATCGAAAGAATGAACAATTACATCATCACCATTCTCTTATTCAGCTTTCTTTACAGCTACAGCTGCTACACATTCAGAATCATTACCAAAATCATTCCCTATTATATTCAGTTAGCAAAATACCCGGCGTTACCCGTTTTTTCCGTATTCAATCCTTGCACAAAATAAAAGAACTCCGTGTCTCTCTCTATCTGTCTGTTTCTGTCTCTTTCTGCTTCTGCCTATCTACCCCCTCTCTGTCTCTCTAATTGTCTCTCTGCCTCTGTCTGTCTTAGTTGTCTCGGTCTATGAGGGACATAAAAACGATGGTAGAGAACGCTTAAAAGATATATCACAGGTGTCGTTGACGTTGAAATCGTTGATTTTTCGAAAATTGAAAAGTTCAAAATTGTTTCGGATACTTCTTTGTACAACTGCAATTTTTAATCTACACACACACACACACGCGCATATGTCTTATATAGCTGATTTGAAGAAGCAGTTTCTTTGTCTCTCTCTTCTCACTCACCCTAATGTGTAATCTGTATGTAAATAGTCTGCTGCAACAAAAATACTGCTAAACAAAACAGTTCAAAATGGTTTTGCAAAGAGTAGCTCGCACAGTGCTCAAAAGTACCAAGTAAATTACTCTGGAATAACACAAAAATACTTATTTTAACAAAAGCAGCCTTCACGAAAACTACAGTAACGTATATATACATCACGACTGTTCTTTACACATGAAGAATGTTAAAGAAATTACTGCGAATCTGGCAAATATTTAATAGCGCGTTTCCTTAGAGCCTGGTATTCTCATGACAGAATTATCGGAAGTAGTACTCGGAAGTATCACATGGTGTTATTGACAGGGTCACGGCCATTAGTCGTAGTTCCGCGTCCGTATTTTCGTCCTAGCCTTGTTTTGAAGCGTACCCTGACGCGGGTCTAGAGGATCATTTTTCGGGCAGGCGCGTTTCATGAGCGGCCCCTAATACACCTAGGTGTGATAGTTATTTTTTCCACTAGATATTGGTGTCCATGAACTACATCTAACCACCCTATTGGTAGAGAACGTATAATGGAAATTGCCGGGGAAATTTACTTTCGTCGGGCACGTTCTTTTTTATCCGTAAAGCATGACATGGCCACTGCGGATTCAAAATTGCCCTGCTTTTCAAAAATCTACGCACTTCAGTCACCAGCGCACTGGTTGTTTAATCACTCGCACGAGTGATAGCGTAAACAGTTGCAGGGATTGAGTATACAATTTGTGCGCCACTATAAGAACAGGTGGAATAACACAATCAAATATTTAAATTTTTCAATCAAAATCAGAATTAATTGGATGGCTGGTGAGGTAGATACTTTCTAATAATTAAATATGGTAAATTAAAGGTGTTCTCTGGTATCAAATATTTATTTTGCTAATGATTCCGTAGCGATCATCATCAGAGCTCAATTTAGAATTACCAAAATAAACAAAAATTAAATTAAAATTAATTAAAATAATTACAAATTTAAAAAAAAATTATTTCGGTAATCCTAATTTTAGCTTTGAGGATGATCGCTACGCGATCGAAAAGATCAATAGCAAAATAAATGTTTGATACCAGACAACACCTTGAATTTACCCTATTTAATGAAAATCGGAGGTGTTTTTTTTGTTTTTTTCTCGGGTTCCTTGGTATCTAACGAAACCATACACACCTTGGCATATCCGACAGGAAATTAGATAGTTTTCTTTCAGTTTTTGCGTACATTGGAAATTAGAAATATTCTATGGCCTGCAGCAGCAAAAATTATGCAAAACAAAATCAGGCAAAATCCTTTTCCAAAAAGTAGAACGCTCACTGCTCAAGAAATACAAAAATTAAATTCTCTCTATAACTGCAATGAATTTAATATTTAACAGGAAACAAGTCTTTACGAGTAATCCAATAACATACTTCACTGTAAACGAAAACTCAGTTCAAAAGCTCACACCAAGAATATCACAAAATTCCTCTTTCACGCAACACAAAGTCTGGATACAGTACTTTCACTTTCTGCATTTTTTGAATGTCAGTGATTAAATATTTTTGTATTTTCTCGAGCTCATGGGTATCTTTAAAGAAAACATTTACATCTCTCACATGGCTGGAGACTGCATATTTTCCAATATCTACAGACATTTGAAATTGGTAATATGTTTTATGTTTTCCTGGGTATCCAACGGAACTACACAAACTTCTAACATGGCTGGAGGTTTGCATTATTTTCTTTCAGTTTCTGAGTGCCTTGAACATTAGTAATATAACTAGTGGCCTCCAGCAGCAAAACTTCTGTTGGAGAAAAACAACAACACAAAATGGTTTACCAAACCGTTCCACGCACATTTCTCAAGAGCCAATAAAATACTCTCGTATAAAATTTAAAAAAAATATACATATATCTTAACAAAACCAGTCTTCATGAGTATATTGAACAACTACACAGAACAAGAGTTAAAAAAATAGATAACAAAATTAAACAATAAGTTTCACATGTTGTTTAGAGGCAGTCAAAGTGTATTGCATTAACATCATTCTTGATATTACATCAAAAACATTCATTATGGGTGATGTTTCGGAGGTCAGTTGTCTCCATCATCAGGCTAATGACATGAATGTACACTGGAACAAAATGATTACGTAGGGACAAAATTCTCAAGGTCATCTGTGAGTGATTACATTAATAGAAGAATGTAGAATCTAAATTACAGTTGTTACAAAAATAAATCAACATTTTGTCCATAATATATCATTGAAATAGCTAAGACCTTGGAAAAGCCAACACAAATGAGAAATTACTTAATGAACATGATTAAAACAACATAAAGTAAGATCTATTCATTACTTAAAATAGAGTTAAAACATTTAATAGTAACTTACATTTAGAATTTCATTCAGACAATGATTAGAGAGTATATTACATTAGTGGTACAAAATGGTCCCACCGTATAGGAACTAATTCCTCTAAAAACATA